GCAACGGCACCGCGGCAGAGAGGGCAGCCCGTCAGGCCGAGACGCCCCGGGGCGTCCCAAAGCCTTAAATCCCGAGGCGGGGAGGCGCCGGGGAAGCGAAGGCCTCCTGCTAGCGCGCGCGTACACGTATGTCTTGCACACGTGCAACATCTCGACCAAGCGGCTCAGCCCTGGGGCATCCCCAGGGGCTCACGCCCTCTACCAGGCGCAGCGATGGCAGCCCCGCGGTGGGGACACGGATGAAGGGACGGGGCACCGAGCTCCACGGAAAAGGGAATTAACAGCAGATCAAATCACCGGCATCGCAGGCTAATTCCCTGTGATGACCCAAAGCACAAGCCCTACTGATAACCTAATGCTTGAGCATTTAGGTGATGTGGGTTTCAGGTGGAGCCAATTTGCTGCCCACCCAGAGGCTGCAGGGACCCGGGACCTATATGTAAGCCAAATGCAGCCCCAGAGCAAAGGGAACTGAGATCAGCATGGAGGGGCTCCAGTGAACACAAGCCCTGCTCTGGGGAGAGCTGGGCCTGCCCTGGTGGTGCTGCAGAAGGTAGGACTTTATGTGGTTGCTGGTGCCGGCTGTAGAAAGAGCTAAATGAAATCCTGACTAATGCCCGTTAAAGGAACTTCTGGCCTTTGCTTTATGTCTTCCTTGGTCTGCATCAGCCTGGTGCACCAAGCTGTGCAGTGCCTGTAATTACAGGTAGCTGATGGGGGTTGTGCCTCTGCGAGACAAGTTGGGCAGCAAATCTCTGCCAGAGCACTGGCAACAGGTTAGAGCTCTGCTGTGATGCCCTGCTCCTTCCCTGGGGTTCAGGCTCTGGCTGCTGGGGGAAGAAAATCAGCTGTGACAGTGATGGGAGCAATCTGTTGGAATTGCAGTGTCAGGTGTCAACTCAGATCAGCTGGGAGAAGGAGGGAAGGCCAGGCAAAAATCAAAATCCACTGCTGTAGAAATGGGGTTGGGCTCTCTGCAGGGTGCATGCCAAGAAAATACAGCTTGTACGAGGTGCTTGAGGCATCGAGCTTCTGTGGAACATTGAATGTGGCAGGAAAATCTCCCTAGGAGAGTCCAGATGGGAGCTAATGGATGTAGAGCATTTTGTGGATGTCCATCATGAGCACGCGAAGAGCCTCTCGAGTCTGTTTCAGTCAGGTTTAAAAAAAAAAAAAAAAATCTAGTTCCTCCAAAATGAACTGGAAAAATGAGCTTCTCAGGTTGTAGGTGCAGGTTCATCCACGCGCGGATGAGGTTTGACTTCTGTGTTTGGGGGGGAAATGTTGGACAGCTAGGTGGGCCTCCTGGCTGTCTGGTGGGGCCAACTGCGTTGGTGTTTTGAAGGTAATAGGTGCATATCTCCAGCCCAGACCTGTCTGGTCTGATGGTCCAGCTGAGCTGGTGCACAGCTTGGAGGATCTGTGCTGAGCAGCTTAAATGGGGGCGCCTTGGGCTGGGGGCAGTGAAGCGCAGGTAGGTTGGTGGGGCCAGCCCGGGGTCAGAGCATGGATTTGCAAGTCACGTTGCCCGTGTGTTGGAGGAGGGCTAACAGAGACGTTA